TCATCCATCTAGCTATAGGATTTATGAAAATACAGACTAGAAAACCATATTCAATATCTCTTGTTAATCTATACTAGATATAAAATCTTTACTGGGAGATAATTAGCTATTATATGTTATTACCAATAAAGTGACAAGGTCAGAATCGGAAATTAGATTCATGATTTATGCATACATGTATTCTACCAATTGCCTTCAAGAATATTCTAAAAAAAATCCATAAGTAATCAAATCAAATATTAATAATACAGTTTGTGAAAAATGAAATTAACACAAAACATTTAATAAAATAAAGCCCAAAGTCAAAAAGAGGAATAAGCATTGTAACTTACACCAAAAATATACCCAGTACATAATGATTTTCTAATTGTAGGGAATGGAAACACATAGCTCACAGTAAAATAAATATGTTTTTTTTAATCACACAAATTCATATTCATGATCAACTTGTAAATACACTAATGCCCACCCCCCAAATAAATTGCAAATTAAAGCTACAGTGAATCATATAGTGTCCTTCTGTATTTTCTTTTTTTTTTTTTTTGGTGGGGGTACTGGGGATTGAACTTAGGGGCGTTCAACCACTGATCCACATCCCCAGCCCTATTTCATATTTTATTTAGAGACAGGGTCTCCATGCTTAGTGCCTTACCGAGGCAGAGGCTGGCTTTGAACATGTAATCCTCCCATCTCAGCCTCCCGTGCTGCAGGGATTCCAGGATGCACCACCACTCCTGGCTTTCTATTCAATATTTCTGGAAACCTAAAGTAATTTTTAAAAAGTCTACTAATTAAAACAAAACTATTCTGAATCAATCAAATTGTCAAAGATTTAGATGTTTGATTATGTACTGAACACAGGACTGTGTAAAAGTAGAATCCTTATACATGAAGGGAGGGAAGATAAATTGATGTCATACTTGCCCCTGAATAGGGCAATTTGGTCGTATTTATCAAAATTAAAAATGCATACTCCTTTTGCCCTATAGTTTTACTTCCCAATATATCCTATCTACACAATTGTATACGTGAAAAATTAAGTATTTTTAATGTGGCTCATCACAAGAGTATTAGTAACTGAAGAATAATGGAGATAACCTAAATATGCACCTAAAAATATATATGGAAGAAGAGTGAGGGGCTGGGATTGTGGCTCAGTGGCAGAGCACTTGGCTCTCATGTATGAGGCACTGGTTCAACCCTCAGCATCATATAAAAAAATAAAATAAAATAAAGGTATTGTATCCATCTACAACTAAAAAATATATTTTTAAAAAAGAAGAGTAAATAACTTGGTATCATTATTCAGTGAAACACAATCTATATTCCTTGAAACAGAAGTGTTTGGGAATTTAGAACTTTTGGATTAAGTAGTTATGTGGTAACATTATAATGCATGAGACTCCCAGAAAGATCTGAGCTAGCAGATTAAAAATCACATTAAGTGTCATGTACAAAAACCATAAGTATCCTCACTTCGGGTCAGTAGTACAGTTTAGAGAGGGTGATAGTTCATCACTAGAATAGGCAGAATAAATCCCCCTTAAAGATG